ATATATATATATATATATATATATATATATATGTGTAATTAACATCTCGGTGGTTGAATCTCCAACGTGCTTCTTGTATTTCTTTACAGGTACACAACTTAGCACTTAGTGTTACTAAGCTATAACGCTTTAAAGGTACAGACGAAAAACTGAAGAAAGTATTATTCATTTGAGGCATTATGGGAAATATCTTGAGAAAATCTCTCGTTGTTTCATACATCATGTCGGAGTCATTAGTTTTGCGACAGTGACTTTAAACAATTGTTTTTTTTTGGATATTCGAGAAAATGTATATATATCCAAGGGCCATTTGCATTATCCGCCCTTTAATTTTGAACAAAACTAGGAAGAAGTCAGTTAGTCAAAAGCATCCACCGCCAACCCTTCTCTAACCGAATAATGGGATTTGACCGTTACCTTTATGACATATCTACGGCTTGTTGTTTCGTTACATCATTATCAATGTTCAATGAAAGAATTAACGCCTCGTATCAACACGCCTTTTCTAAAAGCCTGAAAGAACTCACCGATCAACCGTAAGTGGTGTTGATTGGTATCGTGATGGCAAAGTTATTTTATGGTGATTCGTAGATGCTAACGATGGAATAAGACTCATTCATAAATGCTTCTGATCTAACCTTTGTAAAATTGTCTCTTCATTACTCTGAGGCACACTTATGACGTCACGTAAAAACTACAACTTTCTTCTGAAGCTAACATCAAACGATCACGCCACCTACACGAAATTCTTATTGAAGATTGTTTGTTTGTTTTGAATTTCGCGCAAAGCTACACGAGGGCTATCTGCGCTAGCCGTCCCTAATTTAGCAGTGTAAGACTAGAGGGAAGGCAGCTAGTCATCACCATCTTGGGCTACTCTTTTACCAACGAATAGTGGGATTGACCGTCACATTATAACGCCCCCACGGCTGAAAGAGCGAGCATGTTCGAACCCGCGACCCTCAGATTGCGAGTTGAGCGCCCTAACCACCTGGCCATGCCGAGCCTTTATTGAAGAAAGAAATAATAAAAGTACTTACATACTTTAGGTGTTTTTTTTTAAAACACACGTGATTTTATTTTGAAAAACACTTTTTAATTAGTTCATATGAGAAGAATGTTTAAGAGATGTATTTATGGTGCGACAACTTCTAGTTTTATTCGTGACACTAGTTTTAAGTGCTTCACTTCACCCATCCAGTGTATAGGTTTTTCTCATAGTGACTACAAAGCACGTTCACACTAACAGTATGTTTGATACAAAGATTTAACTGATGTAACTAAATTAATAACGCAAATTTACTAGCCTTGCTATATTTTTTACTTAGAGGATAATCCACGTTGAACGTTTGGAGATTTTTTTAATGTTCTATGAGTACCGTGACTGACTTCTCATTAATTCTGAAGACAACGTGCTATCTTGTTGTATGAAGAAACTGGCTTATTTACACTTTCACAATTTATCGTTATTTAAATATATATACATATATATATATAATGTTCTGTAGGTACTAACGGTAAGATTTTGGCAACCTGATATTAGTCGTTGTCATGGTTAATAGTCTATTAGATTTTTTTTTTATTCCTGTAA